GGCCGAGGGGTGACGCACCCCGCGGGGTCACGGGTGACCCCACCCGGGGTGACCGAGGTGACCCCGCTCCTGGTGTCCTCACACTGGTTGCCTCCACATCGGGTGATCCCACCCCAGGTGACCCCAGCGTGCCGGCCCCGCCGGGCCATGCAGGGGGGTTGATTGGCCCAGTGGAGCCGCGGAGCTTGTTATGTGGCGGGCGTGGCTCGTCTGCTGCGAGATGGCGGGGCGGCTCGAGGCGGCTGCTTTGGTTACCGCGAGGGGCCTAATCGGAAAGGTAATCCCTCGCTCTCCTAACAGCCTGAGCTGGGGCGGCGCGGCCGGGCGGGACCCCCAGCCAGGCACGGCCAGCCGCCGGTAATTCCACACTCCGCTCCTTAACCCCTGCAGGGCCCGGGCCGGGCCGGGGGTCGTGTCCGTGCCGTGGAGGGCCTCGGCTCAGGTTCCGCCTGTTTGGCCTGCGCGGCGCGCCCCTGTCCTCTCGTGTGTACAGTCTGGTCCAGCACGCTCCTCCGCGCGGCTCACCCCGCCCCCGCCGACCTTCGTCTAACTGCGGAGGTGGCAGCTCGAAGTTCTGGTGATCGCATGTTTCCTCTCGTTCCGGGTGTCTTGTCTTGTGTGTCTTAAGCTCGTCTGTGGGCGTTCTAAAGAAAGATGTCAGTCATGCGCCTCGCTCTGCGACGGTGCGGTCACAAATGCTTTCCAGGAATAGCTGACTTTTGGTGCAAGGCGGCGTTATCGCGGAGTGTACGAAGTGACGGGACTCGTCTCTGACTCGGCAGAGATACTCGACCTCGTTAAAGGGGCCGCACTGCAAAGGGTGGTGACAAGCCTTTTCTCTGTCCGGCGCTGGGCTGGGCGTGGGCTGCGGAGGTTGATGGGTCGTTGGCTGGGCCGGCGGGGGCGGCGGGGGCGGCGGGGGCGAAGCGAGGTGCGGGGCGCGGGACGTTACGTCGGCGGGTCCCTTGCGGCCGGGGCCAGGCCCTCCTCCGTGATGGGGGCGCAACAACTCTGAAAGCACAGAGACCAGTTGCGAAATGAAGAGAAGTGCGCCGCGCCGCGCCCTGTTCACACAGAGTGGCCCGGGCGGGGAGCGGGGCCCAGGCTCAACAGGCGACGGGGCGGGGCGGGCAGCCGTTACCGCTGCCACCCCCGCCGCCGCCACCAACCCTCACTTTGAACTGCTCATGCTCTGCTGCAACCCTCGCTGCTGGAGACCAGCCAGGTTCGGCAGCTGCTGCTTCTGTTCCCGTTGTCCTGCAATATTGTGCTGGTTCAAGTACCCCCCAGTCCCATCTGACCCATCCCGTGATTGGGATCAGTTCCCGTGAACTTGTGCTACTCTGGGAGGGGGTTGAAGAGGCCAGCCAGCGAGGTATCGCTTTTTGCCTATCGACAAGACGTCCATTGCGGGGAGGGGGGGGGGGTCGTACTCTGGGGAGAAAAGTGCCGTGACAAGGAGAGCACCTGGGGGAGGGATGAGTGAGAGAGAGAGAGAAAGAGAGAGAGAGAGAGAGAGAGAGAGAGAGAGAGAGAGAGAGACCTCGCCTCGACCCCACCGAGGCGAAGCAAGCGAGCTCCCTGCTCCTGCTCCGGCCACCGGCTGACGCACGTCGAGCTGAGCGGAGTAGAGGGGGAGGTTCTCTCCCGGACATGAACGTAGCAGCAATGTTTGGGCCAGACTTCTCGCCCAGAGGCCTCATACTCATCCCGGCCGTTATTCAAGTACGACTTGTTCATATTCTTCTTGAAAAGAAATCACTTTTCTTTGGAAAAAGATATAAAAGAAAGTTCCCATCCTCGTTCGCATCACAGCAGGTGAGTGTTTTAAAGTGTGCATCGACAAGGTTGGTTGTTGTTTTCTCTTCAGCGAGGGTATTCTCTAGTGGTAGTGGTGCAGCGTAGTCAGGCCTGTTCCGCAGTGCATACACCCCGTACGAAATATGTCACGTTTATAGCAGGCGGAAAAAGAAAAGAGCAACAATGAGGGCGTGGGGAGGGAAAAGAGTCTGCAGCGCTGGTGATGGCCACTGTGATACCGGCTGCACGAACACGTCACAAATTATACGACACAAACAGCTGCCCCCCGTACTGCTGTGACTCCGTCTTTTCTCTTATTTTTTTTTCTGGCTGCTCTGCCCCTTTTTCTTTTTCTCTTGTAATGTTCTGTCGTGTATAATCACGACATTATTTCGCTGCAGTATCGAGGCTCTCGAGCCGGGGAGTAATTCGTTTGCTGTTAAAATGCGCTTGTGTGTGTTTGGTGTCTGTGAGTGCGTGTTTGAGAGAGGGGTTGGTTGCTACGGCTCTCTTCTGTGTTTCTACCCCTCTCCTCTCTCTCTCTCTCTCTCTCTCTCTCTTTCACCCCGGGGCACTAATGTGCCCTAGCGTAATGTCGGGTGCACACCACACCAGTCTACTTTCTCTCTCTCTCTCGCTCTTCAGACCGCACAAACATGAGCAGAACGGTGTGTTCAACCGCTCTCCCTTTGCCAGTCTCTCTCACCTCCTTCCTAGGGGCCCTCACACTCCCCGCTCTCACTCTCTCTCCCCCCTCTCCCTCTTTCTCTCCCCTTCATCTACTTCTTCAACG